TTCATGAATAATTTTAGTATAATTATATATTAATATATATATAGCTATTTATGTTATTTTACTTTGCCTACCTTTTTAGTACATACCAACATAGAACATGTTTTTCAGTGAATTTTTCTCTACATAAACCTCAGAGTTCAAGACATAAGTTTTTAATTAACAAATAAAAATAGGGGTTGATCGTAGAGACCGAAAATTAAGGTATGTATTTTTGTATGTTGTATCATAAAAAAATAAAAACAAAAAAGATTGTCTGAAAATTAAAAATAAAATTTAGGGGTGGACCACCCTTAACATTTAGGGGGATTAAAAATAGATGTTCTCCGATTCTCAGACTTTCTGAATATAGATAAAAAAAACTTAAGAATCGGTCGTCATTGTGACACGAGAATTTTATATATTAGATAAAGCTAATTGACGTATTTCGTAGACGTAAATGACTACGTCCCACTGATTATATGCGGCAAGTTAATTAAATTGAATCTTCAAAGATATACCGATGCTGACTTTTTATAAAGTAATTATTTCAGTTTCCGAGTAAATTATGGATAAACATAAAATCACTTTAAAACTTACATAAATCTAGTACAAGTAGTTGAAGCTTATAAAGATCATCAAACTCAATAATTATCCAATTCCAACAACATTCGTATTATATGTCGAACTGATAACAACCTTTTTTGAAGTCGGTGAAAAAGAGCTCCCGATTTACACGACATCGTTCAGTTCTAGCTAATGACAAATATGTCAATTATGTAGTTTAAAATAAAGTCTAGTATCGGCCTTTATATGTAAAAACAATTAAAATCTATTAAATATTTAAGTATTCCCAATTACATAATAATCGATTCCAATTCATCTCCAGCGATGGTTAAATTAGATCAGGGAATCCAGGATAATATAACAGTTTTATGATATGATCAAAATGGTAAGCAATGATGAAATGATAAAATCTACAAATGGGGCTACGACATATATGTATACATATGATAGACTATATGCATCTTGGAAGAATATATATGCTCAGCGGGCGGACACACAAACATCGCTGTAATAGAATAATATGTTTGATTCACATAATATGTTTAGTTGTTCGGTAGTGTAAATAGTATTAGATCACCATATATCCATTTGTGAACTAGCTACATCCAAGTATATTATATTAGCATTAAGAAAGAATCTCATACAATTTGAATGATGCAGTACTAAATGTTAATTAGCCTTTTATCTATCTTCTTTAAATCTACAATCGAGTACGATAATTGTGAGCGACACTCGGCCACGAAGCAGTTTCAATAGGTGCTGGCTCCGCGCTACAGTCACGTCCTTCGCCTGCACTCGCTAGGGTTGAGCCTGGCCTATCCTACACTAACAACGAAATCATCATTTTTAACTAATCCACCGACTTATTTCACTAATATCTCCTCCGTCATCTTTAAATTATTTTGAGTTAAGCCAATTTCACGGGTTCCGTTATAACTGGTTTTATCATCTATTACTTCTATAAGTTAGTCTTAAATGATCAATATCATTTTTCTCTGCAAACTAAATACTAAAATGTGTTATTTAACGATAGTTTTCTCTTTTGACATCTGTCAAGAAATAATGCGACCTTGATTCGACGCTAAATTAGGTGAAGATTGGGCTTAACTTTTTAATAGATAGATAAGCTAATTCCTTCTTACCTCACATTAATAATACAAAAAGTGATTCCCAAACCTATTTCATGCTTGAATTGAAGTTAATATGGACTGAATCCATGTTTATTAATAAGGCGGAACGGGTGGTACATCGTCAATTGCTTTTGTGACAGCCCTAGCATTGGCCTTGGCTCCCATTGATCGGCGGCGACCTTGCACTTGACTCTTGACAACCCCCAATACGAAACGACGTAGCGCCATTTTTTATTTTCTAATGCAATTTCTGCTCTCCCAATGCCACATCGTTCTTTTGATATTTTTCTCGAGTTAAGAAGCAATATTTAACTAGATTAACTAGATTATAATTTTTTAAGGTGGGTATGTATTGCAGCCGACATCCGTCCATCAATATTAAACAAAAATCAGATTATCTATGTTTTAAAATAATGCAATAAGTTCGCTTTCATTTACGTTACAGACGCTTTATTTAATTACATGAAATTTTCAAACCTAATTAATAAGCTCAAAACATTACTTTACACCTTTTGAGTTGATTAGTAGTGCATATTTGATTTTTTGATTCGACCGATCGTCACATTTTGAGACACTTAAAAATGGTTTTGGTCTTTGCCAGTTTTACTTATTTTTTACGCCCTCAACCACATATTTCTTGTTTGTGCGTATGGTCAATTATTTGTATTTTTATTTAAAGGAAAATTATTTGTCATCAGTCTAACCTCTCTCATTGTTCCTAAACTAATTGTTTCCTTATCCCTAGGACTGATCCCTATGTTTAGTATAAACGGCCACCAAACCGGTCTTTATGGTACAAGATTATTTTTTATCACAGAGTGAACTCCAACTCCGACTAATAAACCACCCCAGGCCCTGCTGCCAGCGGCGAGATGAGTTCGTGAGCAGTTCCCATTACTTAAACATTGACTTAATGTGACCGTTTGGCCAGAGGTTACAGGGATCTTTAGCGGTTATATTGTAATCCGTCAATTGCTATTGAATAGTGAAAGATACCGGGTCACGTAATCATTGGGGACGTGACATGCGGTCACATAGTATACGTATAAGTGACGTCAAAGAGTAATATTTGCGTTATATAAATTCGGAGTAATTAACAACGATATCTCCTAAGCCATTCATTGAAATCAAATGATGTCAATTTGATATTGAATATTCGTTTAGATAACAATAAATATTATTTACAACAAATGTTCTATAACAAATTTAATCATTTAGGTTCGCAACAGAAACTCTCAAAAAGGATAGAAGAGGGTACTTATATATTTTTTTAACTCAAACAAACTATTCCGTATTCTATATTAATATGATGAAATTAATAATTGATTAAATAAGGTAACTAGAATTATCTTACAAATAATTCGTGTACGTTTTCGTAGAAGGACTACAGCGTAGCGCGTAGCACTTTAATACAATTTTTCTGCTTTTATTTAAGGTTGTTGATTAATTGTATTTGATTATTATTTATAACTTAAGATGTCATGTGGAACATGGTGTAATGGTTGCAGATCCTTACAAACGTTGTGTAAAACAAAATACTTGGCGATTTAAAAGAGTGGCGGAGAGTTTATTGCCAGTTCTTCTCTTCCGTTCTACGCCCTTGATTTGAGAACTGGCAGTAAATGTAAAATTAGAAGCATTTAATGTATTTTTTTTGACGTTCATAAGTGTACATTGTGTTACCTATATGAAGAAATGATTTTGACTTTTGAAACAAGTGTGTATATGCCGTAACCTTTTACCTCCGTAAAATTTCCACTTACCTGAAACAAAATAAAACATTGGTTAGGTACTAATGTAAAGTAAGTAGAATTTATTTTTAATACGTTTCGAAATTTGGTTGTTTCTTTAAAATAAATAAACTCAATATGACCTTTTCAAATGCCTTCAAAAGTTACACTTTCAGAGAGAAGTTAATTTTCATGAAGATACAGGAAGTATTGAAGACTTGTTCGTAGATGCGTAGACATTGAATACGTACAAGCTGATTTTTAACTCAATTTGGTAAGTTGCCAAGGGGCATGTTTTATATTTTTTGCTTTCCACTATTAGTTAACACGATAGCGCATATTATTTATGGAGAGACGTCCGTTGGCGATGTGCCACCGTTACTTCAATACAAAATAGATCAAAACGGATATAAGAGCCGGTAAGTTAACACAAACTTTCATTCAAATCCACTGGTTTAGTACCCTCATAATTTGTTGATTTTATCTATCTATATAATATAAATTTATTTTAAAACCTCTTTTTTGATCATTCTTTCTACCTCGTAATTAGCTCTGCTTATATATTTTAATTATTGCGACTCAGTTAACCTTTTAATTGGCCTTTAAATTTTTGTTTATATACATATTTTTATGTATATTGTTATTTTTTCCTTAGATTTTACTTTATTTTATTTTATTTTAGTTATAGTAACGTGTTATTTTGACCTCTGTAGGTGTTTCTTTTTCATTGTTGCACATTAGGGAAGAAATCGCTTGTTAATGCCGCCCGTTGCCTTATAACATTTGAAACCGTCTTTTATATTTTTGTTATGTGTATGTTTTCTAATAAGGTAATAAACTATAAATAAATAAATATATTGAAAGAAAAAAACAATATAGGGTAATTCCGGGGGAGATGGCCGTACGGGAGAGATGGCCAATAGAAAAAAAATCGAGTATTAATTCATAGATGGCAATACTTTTTATTTATTTCCATTCATGTCGGCACCGGCAACAAGTGACAGTAAATTGTTTTGCAAAAAAAAAATAGGAAAAAGTAAGTAATTTGACTTTGTTTTCTATTAACACGTTAGATCTAAACTGAGGTTGACACATTAAGTGGTCAAAAAAAAGTTTTGACAGTTTTGTACGTTTTCGTGATATCTGCGTGAAGTAAAGAACTTTCTCGTATTCTAACCTCCAAAATAACTTCATAATTGAGATGTTGCTTTTATTTCGTCCTGTGGCCATCTCACCCGGTCAATAGGGATAGATGGCCATAGTATTTGCGGGAGAGATAGCCATAAAATTTTATGCCCAAATTTAAATTTATTTTTAATATTTAATATTATCTAGAGATGCCTCATGAATAATTACGAAAAGCTGCTACTGGACGAGGTGCCTGGAGCGAAGAAAACTTAAAAACTGCAATGGCGGAAGTACAAAGTGGTGCGATGACGATTTATAGGGCCTCTTTTGTCTATCATATTCCAAGAAAAACAGTAGAAAGAAGGTTGAAACAAAACAATCAAATAAAGGGACCTATGGGACGGGACCAACGTCAACCTTTGGTACAGTTTTCATTTTTGAAAAAAGGCTGAGCAAGCATATAAAAGTCATGCAATTTAGAGGCTTTCCTTTGACTATTGATGATTTAAGAACAATTTCATTCAAGTTTGCTGAGCAATTAGCAATTAAACACATATTTAACATAGGATCTGAGAAGGCGGGCTATGATTGGGTGCATATGTTTTTAAAAAGGAATTCCGATATTTCATTAAGGAAATCAGAAGGGGTGTCATATGCTAGAAGTCAAGGGATGAATAAAGCAGAAGTTAATGCCTATTTTGAAATGCTTGAGAGGATTCTCAGTGATAATGACCTTATTAATAAACCTGGCCATATTTACAATATGGACGAGTCTGGGTTGTAACTAAATAATAGACCAGGTCACGTTTTGGCTGAAAAAGGTTCCAAAGCCGTAGCTATGTCAACGTCTACAGAAAAAGGAGAAACGATCACGGTAGTTGGTTGCTGCAATGCTGAAGGTAATTTTATACCTCCTGCTTGCATTATGAAATGGCAAAGGAAGAAACCTGAATTTGAAGATGGGCTGCCTCCAGGTTCAGTGGTTTATATGTCACAAAAATTCTCCAATATAACCTCTGACATATTTCTAGAATGAAGATTTAAAGATTGGATACAATGCAATATTTGTATGCTCTGGGTGCACGAAAATTGCACCGAGTTTGATGACATGTGTTCTCACTGCGACAATAAGAAAAAAAAGGAGTTAAAAGATCTCAAGGGTAAAGGGCAAGGTAAAAAAAGTACTGGTCATCTCGCCCCGAACTCTATGGCCATCACTCCCGGGCACTCTGTGAGAGATGGCCAGTCCTAGTTTTTTTTTAAAGTTTAAAATTATATTGTTAGAGTTGCCTAAAGTGATGTTTCGTTAATATTTGATAAGAATAATAATTAAAGTTTATGTTCTATACGAATTCACTGTTTTATTCATCATAATTCCTTCATAATACAGTTTTATAGTTACTAGGGCCATCTCCCCCGGAATTACCCATATAGACAGTATTAAAAAATTTAATCACCTTTAAACTTTAAAGTACGCTCTTTAAGAAACGATTAAAACAAAATATGTTAAACGCTTTTACGACACCATTGGTTCAAAGTTAGGCATCGTGACAAAAATCGGTCAAGCACTTTTTGTAACAAATCCAAACTGCTTTGTGAAACTTTGTCATTCCCAAATGGTTGGGTTTAATATTATGGACAGAACTCTTCATTCCTTCTGCTTTAATACAAATAGTAACACGACAATCCACCAACACAAAGTTTTCAACTTTTTTAATAATTATGTCACTACTAATGTAGTATAGATGTAGTTCGGGGTCGTCGCTAATAGAAGTTCTTCCTCGCTTGAACTTAACAGACCAATGCGCAACCGTAGAACGAAGGAGCATGAACCCCACATGTCTCCCATCTCTTGACTAAGCAGCTCCGTTGTAAAAACAATCCAGCACAGATATTTTATTATCCGTTTTTAAAACACGCTCCGACAAAGGAGAATGTATCGAATTATCCCTATTTATCGAACACTTCCCCATAATAACCACAAGATATAAGAAAGCGATGGCTTAACGAATATCAAAAATGTTTAACTTGTTAGATAGAAGTAAAATTTTAAAAAATCAATTACGAACAAATAAAAAAACGATAACATTTAAGCTCTAATCGAGCTTGAAAAATTTCAAAAATTCTTTGGACGATGGCTTTTGAACTTGAACAACTCTAATAGTTTTAGGACAGGTATGTTATACTAACCTACTTCTTGTATTCTACAACTTACAGTCAGTTATATAACTCTGCGGATAAACTAAGCGATTACTCTCACTAAACAACTAGGTTTAAGGGATTACAACTAAAGTCAGATTGGCACAGTCATTAAACCAAGACATAAATCATTTCCACCGTGACCGAATTATCTTCAGGAAAATCAGCCGATAGTGACGTTTATAGCTGTATCAAAAGCTCGGTCACTGCCAAGGAAACAATTTCTTTCTTCCGACGAAAACTTATTTATTGGTCAGAATCTATTTTGGCAGAGTAAACGAGCGCAGCTCTAACTTATGCCCCGACAGTGTGTCGCAAACCGCAGTGCTTACTTGTCATAGGTATTGGCGCATATTATCCGATTATACAAAGTAGTATTTTACACTCTGCCGCTGCGTTTGATAGTGTTAATACTAAAAAACGCCCAGACAAAATTACACTTCTATACAACACACTCGTGTGACCTTCCGCTCTTTATATATTTATATACTCCAGTGCATGAAGCCTTCATCGATTGGAAAAACGAAAAAAACATCGTCCAATATTAATATATAATATATTTCGTGTTCTAAAATAATGTATTTTTTACTGCATTTGTTATAATTCTCATAGGCGTAGCATATTATAATCATAAGGAGATTTAACATCATAAGTATGTTAAACCTGTAGCTGTAGTATGCTTTGGGTATCTAGTTTATTCTATGTTTTGGCTCATTTTTTATAAGTTATTATTTATAAAGAAGGAATTATTATTTAAAGTATAAATGGAGCAAGCATATAGGCAAGTAGTAGTAATCCACTGCTACTATTATAATGCTCGTAACTCAGACATAAGCTTCGTATGAATAGGCATTATTTGTAATTGAGCCTCACGTCTCATGCGATATTTATTTCTGTCAATTATTGTTTATAATGTAAAGGTGCGCTTACACGAGGGCAATAATTGCTCGGCGACACGAATGGACGGATCTGGAGCAATTAATGGAGCAATTTCAATAAACTCAATAAATTTCAATAAATTATTTCGGCGATATTGCTTCTAATTGCTCCAGATATTTCATATCGCTCAATGTCGCAGATGCGAATTGACGAATATCCAATGGACTTGGAAATTCCTAGCAATTTTTGTATATATCTCATTCGCACTTGTTTGTTTTGCGGCTTGACGTCTTGCTTCCGCGGAGAAGGGTTTAAGCAGGTTTTGTTGATGCAGAAATTGGTTCTCTCATGTTGGTCGTCTGTTTCGTAATTAATGGGCTAACTTTATTCAAAAATAATTCAAAGTCTGTTCGTGACATTCTAGTAAAGTTTTTGAATAATATATCATCTAATTCTTTACACAATGAAATTTGCGGCCTCTTTGCCAAAAACGATCGCACCCAGATACGCCTATTCCTTTTCTTTCATTTTTGTTTTTGATTAATAATAAAAAAAGCGCTACAAGCCGCCGCAGCAAAAACAATGTCATCTATTGCGAGCGAATACTGAATTGCTCGTGTAGGACAGTATTGCCTTGTTGATAAAGTTGCGCCATATCGCTCAAGATTGTATTGCGCAGTATTGATGCTTGTTGCCGTTGCCGTAAATTGCTTGATGTAGTCGTGACGTCATAGTTGACGAGTATTGACTGGAATTGAGCAATTTTAGTTGCCCGTGTAAGCGCACCTTTAGACGAGTGACGGCGATATTATTTGCACAAAACTGTTCAATGTCAACAGGAATATTCACCGATACTTTTCCCCATTTTTCGGAATTCCAAAGTGTGGTCGATCGTTTTACACCATTTTATCATGCGGCATATCGACTGTTAATTTGTCAATTATCCGAAGTAAATCAATCATGTGTTATGCAGAGACGTTTGCAGTGGGTTTAGTGGTTTCTTTCTGGTGATTGAACTCGAAACTTACGTTTGCATTACGATAATTTGATTAAATATTTCAGTACATTTATAAATTAATATTGTAGTTCGGCTGACTCCCACAAGAGCCTACCATGCCCGTATGTGCCAGTCGGGTATCCGGTTATCCACCCACTCGACCAACAATATTCAGAATGCAGCGGGTTCACAGACCTGAACAGTGGTACACTACAGAGACATGCTGGCCAGCTTCCAATAAATCAGCACGCATAAATATTTCTAATAAATTATTACCTCCCGTCTTCATCAGAGAGGACCAATGCTGTTTTCAAACAAACTAAACCGAATAATAACAATCTCTGCCTTCCAAATGGAAGTTTGTTACATTTTTCCCCCGATTAATAGATTAGTTAATTTAAATTGAACACGTCACTCTATTTAGATTGAAATATTTCTATTATCTTGTTATGCAAGGTTTGCTTTCCAGATCTCGTTACTAATGTGAAAATTGTTTACATGACAAATTAATGTTATAGATAAATTTATTTTCCTTTTTTTTGAGTAATAATTAAAAAGTATGCCATTTTCCCAGCTTCGACAGCTGCCAATCTGACGGGGGAGGGGGAAAGAAGCGTACACGCAATCTATTTAAAACCAATGTAGGCCAAGTCAGTGGGGCGAACTATTGCTAACATGTTACTCGGTTATTTTAGAAGCGATATTCTTACACTTTAACTGCGGACAAATTGAATTAATGTGTTATTAACAAATTTTAATTACGTTTAGTAAATACAACGATGATTTTTACATATTTTACCATCAGCAGACCCTATAAGAAAATAAAAGAAGTCTAAAGAGTAAGATTCCCGTCAAACCAAACTTGAAAACTCTTGTACGTCAAATCACCGTCATTTATAAAAAAAAACAGTCTTATTGCACTCTTTTAACTCAAACCATTATGTCAAATTGTGTTCACGCTATAATGAGAGAGACGGCGCAAAAAGGCCCTAACACTTAGTCAAGATCGATACAAATTTAAAAAAAAGTGCATAATTCCTAAATTAGATTCGATTTGAATTTTCAACTTGCTTAAATCACAAAAAAAAAATAAAAATAATGTTATTTGTTTTAGATACTAAACAAAACACTTAGATATTTTCCCAATTATTGAAGCAAGCAAGTCGAAATACTAAATTAATTTTAAAGGTTTTATTAAAAGATAAGGTTTATAGCCTGATGCGACGAATTTTTACGCATTTAGAATAATTTGAAAAGTGTCGGCGATCACTCACCTCAGGACATTTGTAAGGTCAACGGCTGAGTATTCAGACCAAAACAGGATCTTTGTTCGTTGAGATTATTTAAAATCTTCATTCGCATAAAAGCAGTACATTTTCATACAAACTTAAACTCAATATAACTTTATTCATATAGGTAAACAAGTACACTTATGAACGTCAAAAAAGATGTTAAATTAATTGTAAATTTACATTTACTACCAGTTCGCAAGTCAATGGCGTAGAGCGGGCAAGAAGAACTGGCAAGAAACTTTCCGCCACTCATTTTAATCGCCAAGTCATATAAATTGTTGGAACTGGAGCAAATCTATCGCAAGGATTACGATCATTTAAGTATTCATCAAATTTATAAAAAGCTTTATTGATTAATTTACGTTTAACGTATGGTAATTATTATACATTTTATAATGACACATTTAGTTGTAGTGATTAATAGTTGAAAAATAATACGAGAAAAGTAGTGCAGTGCGTAATCTAACACATTTAATAACTGACTTAGCTGACTTCGGGTTGCCATGACAGCGGAAAGTTGAAATCGAGCAAAGCTCTTAAAAGCGACGAACGGACGCCGAAGATCACTTGACGCTTAATTTTAGAGCCAAACATGACCAGCCGTAGGTTTAGAAAACTCAGGTCGTGTAATATCAACGTCATTGGACGTCATAATTATTTCATTTCATTTCATCAAATATTTTGCAAATAATGAGACCACTTTTCTGTGGATTAGAATTTTTTTTTGAGCATAGCTTATACAGATAATGATTTTCGAATAAAATCCAATACGATCTACTCAACCTTTTACTTTAGCAAGTTTTGTCAAAATGAGGCAATGAAGTCCGTGTTCTGATAGTTCTGCAATAAATCTTATTAGTAGAAGATTCCTACTCCAACAGTTCGTAGAATTGGATGTTAGATTTCTGTAAGTTTATATATACACGGTCATAATTTTGTTTTTCGTTAAGTGATCCCCCGGCCCCCCTATAACGCGGTAGACCCGGACCGCGTTGTAGGAGCATTCTATTAAAACCGTTAAAATAAACAATTCAAAAACTAGGAACTCGAATTTAATATTTAGTTAAATTTTATAGAACACAATTAAAACAGGTGCAAAAAGACGCAAAAATTATGGACTGGAGAAATCATTATAAATTTTACACTACAGAAATATTTTGAGAAATCGTAATGTTATACGACGGAAATCGCATTATACGAAAACGCGTTTTACGCGGGGGCTTACTGTAAATTATCAAAATTAGGTTTAGGGTCACTAATTTATTAGTATCACAAGCTTACACACAGACCTTGCGCAGTGCCGGCACTTTCGTACTTCGACTTCAGCTTAGCTGCCGTCGCGCGCGCATCTGAGCGCACTGAATCCGTGCTTGAGGTTCGGGAGCTAAACGAGAGAGTCGTCGAAAACGTTGACGAGAATGATGATCCCAGGCCCAATCCTAGCGTAGTCCGGTAGCGGCGGCGGTACATGGTATGAACGTATGTATTATCCCGGCAACGGATCGCGGCTGACTGACAAAGCTATCGTCTTGTGCACGCGCACTACGCGGAAAAACGGCTACGATTTATTACGGGAAGCCTAGATTCGCAACTGACGCACGATGGGCTGGAGATTGGTAGCAGGTTTCTAGGAAAATAGCGAAGCTGGAGAATTTTCGCTTATATAGTAAAGCTGATTAAAGGAAAATGAAAGTTAAGGAAAGATAACCAAACAAAGCCAACACAAATGCAACCACCAGCCTACTACAATATATTTATGGGATGAGGCTGGATGGATGAGCTTAGAGTTCCTAACATACATATTTTAAGCTGAGTGTTGCTTGTGGTAAACAATGATCAAAAAGACATATATAATATATATATCTCTCTCTTTTTCATGTGGATACCCATATAACCAATCTTGTGATGCAAAGATTTAATTTTATAAATTAAATAATTCCTATACATAAAAACTTCTTGTAAAACTATAATACTAGAATTATTTCAGGTTATTAAAAAGCATCAATATGCCTTTTACAATAGACCTTTTGCTTGACATGCATTGCAAAATAGGGAAACAAAATATTACATATACGACGAATTTTTTGGCGTCTCCCTTGATGTTCGACTTATAGAGGTTCTACTGTATTTAATAATACAACATCCTATTATAGGATAGCTATTTATAGTATCTTTATGTTTGTACATTAAATTGGAATTAACAACAATTGCAAGTAATCTTCATCAAGTAAATGTGACAATCAACATTTTTAAACCTAATTCTATGCGGGTAAATGCATTGGTATCAGTGAATGCAGTTTTGTTAATTTTAAATAATATAAAATCTCATTTGAGTAAAGCTTCTTGAACATCTAATATAACTTAATATGTATTTAGATCATATTGTATTGTTAGCTGAGATTCTGTTTATCAAACATTACAAATTAAACCTTAGAATACATATTTCAAACAGTATAGGTATTAGTAAAAGATACAAATAACTGAAATTTCAAAGATTTAAGTTATAAAAGAACACTAGGCACTAGTTTGCATGACCACAGCACAAAGATGGTACGTCTGAGCCCAAAACATGAAACCCAAATCTTGGTAAGATATATCTAAGTAAAATAGAATTAATACAACCTTAGCATAGCCGCTATATATCAACAATAACTGATTAAATATACATGACAAATTTTTAAGGACATAAGGTGAGATTATACTTATAGTTTTATAAAAAAGGTAAAAAAAATGCTTTAGTATTTTGATCCGAATTTTTTGTTAGAGTTTAGTTTCCATAATGCAGATTCTTAATCTTTAAAATGTTATGAATATGACTACTTACCATTCAATGACCAAATATGTGAAGGTAAGGAGTGAGCCGCATACACTCTGCCGAGAGCCAATGACGTTCCAGGAACCGGTCCAGCCTCCTCGTTTGAGCTAGTATCAGTGTCCGGGCTGGCAGCTGCCGAAGCCTCATAACTCTGTGAGTTAGGAGGTATGGCAATAGCTTCATGAGAAGTATGTAGATCCGGCACTGACGACAACGATCGAGCTCGTTGCCTGTCACTTGACACTTGTATACCAGGTATAGCTCGCAATAGGCTAAAGCCTGCACCACCCGCGACTACGTCTGACCCGGAGCTCGTCGAAAATGTTCTCGCTCGCGGACTCTGTCCCCCATTTGCAGTACTAGCTTTAGCTCCCATCGTAACGATATTACGCAAAACGCACTTGTCACAACAAACTGACGATCACGAAAACAAACGTAACATGAAACCCTCGGCGCCGGAAGGCATTTTACAAAACACGAAAACGATTACGTGAAAACAAACGCTGAACAAACAGAAGGACGTCGAACAAATTGTAAACAGCTTTGTGTGACTTTTCTGCAAAATTTTGACAGCTCTATACTTAAGTTTAAGAGGAGTACTCATACCTATCTAAGATATAGCACCTATAGACGAAACCTTAGAACGGGCTATTGGACAAGATTTTAAAAACCATTTCAGATTATTATATATTAGTGATTATAAAACCTACAAAATTAAATTATGTATTGGGCTTAAAAATTCAAATGCAACATTCATAATTTCAAGAACCCACTAGACCCTACAATCTACCATGCTAGTAAAGACGGCAAACGTCAAGGGGTTTCCGTGTTAATTATTATTATTTAATTACACAAATATAATTTTTCAACCAAAAACAGTCTTCAATGAAATTAAACTCCAAGATGGTATTAGGATAAGACAGGCCAAGACAAATTATTTACTGGCCTGGTACGTCAGTGTCTCTCTAAACAACTTTTTCTCCGGAAACCTGACATTATGTTATCTTTCATTATGTTGGAGTCCTATTGTAAAATAGATGAAATGGGTAGCCATTTTGAGACAGTTTTCAGTAGAGACTTTTACTTTGCTCCCGCCTAAGTTTCCTCACCTACTCCTGTCTGTCATAAATTTGTTCCATATCTAAACTGTACCACAATATTGTGTATGTATTTAAAGTTACCAGAGCCTCTAACGGCGAATAATATAATTCCAACCATCGGCAATTTTTGTTGTATTTCTAAAAAAAGGGTGCGTGTACAAGTAACGGCACGAAACTCTAGCGCTGACCGTTATTGCGCAGAAGTAAAAAATAAGGTACCTGAGGGGGGCTAGCGGAATGAAGAGCGGGCGCGCGTAGCGTCGATTGGCTCTCCAGTCGCATTCCGTCCCCCGCAACGATACCACGCCCCGCGCACATCCCGTGTACAATCGCGTCATTAATATTATTGTTACTGTTGTTACGTTTTGTTGTTTTTTGTTACGTTTGAATTTGTTAGTGTTTTGTTGTTTGTTTTTAAGTTTGTTTGTTACTTTAAAGTGTATATGCCTAGAACAAATACTGTTTTGAAAGACAAGCCAGGAAAATGGTTTATGACGTGAATTGTTTTTAAAAAAAGGGAATCTAACGAATTAATTGATTCTTTGAAACAAATCCAAAGTGAGATTCAGCTTAATATCGTTATTTAGGTATTGCGTGCGCGACAGTACACATGCGCAGCAATCCCCTTCACGTATCGGCCAGCGCTAGAATATTAATAATAATAATTATTATTATTATTTATTATTTTATTTTATTATATTAGGTATTCATTCAATTTATTAACTAGGTATGTTTCATAACCTTTTATCTAGGTAACAATAGGTCTTTGTGAAAAAGCATTGCTAAATTTCTTTGAAAAAATAATTAAAACACCTTTTTTTGTTTAAAAGGTAGGTACTACAAAGAAAAAACTTTTTAACCGGATTAAAGTTATGAATTATTATAAATTTACAATTATGTCACCGTGACCACGCACGCTGTAAAGCACGCGAAACGTCGGATAAATTTAAAATTATGTTAAATAATTGTAAATTTATAATAATACATAACTTTAATCCGGTTAAAAAGTTTTTTCTTTAAATGTGTAAGGTTATGTTAATCAAAGACAATACTAGGTACTACAAAGGTCATTATGGTCATTTAAAAATTCTTGGCATAGCTGCTCACTTCACGCATATTCCATTTCTTTTTACTTGTAGATTGTCTTATTCCCATCTCGCTCGCGCGCGCGAATTCGTTAGTTTTTCATTCTGATAATTTTGTGTCACGGTGCGCGCGCATCGTAAAATTTGACATAGCCAACGCACACTTGTTTTCTAGAACAGATTGATCACGCAGTGACGAAGGCTAAAGGTACATAATACCTAAGATTCACGCATGAAAAGCAGAAATTCTGTCACTGGTAGACCCCAGTTGTCAGTTATATATATTTATATATATAGTCTGAGTCTGCAAAGTGATAAGAGGATCTCAGATGACAGGAGAGAATATTAATATTTGACATTGACGGTTTTCGGATTGTTGAGTTTATATCATATGGATGGAATCATAACTCATAAGTTTATTTTAAAAAGATAATTACTAATAATATTACGATTAACAATTAGATAGTAAAAACCTTATATGTAAATAATAATCTTAATTGAAGAAACATATTTAAAAAAAAGGTATAGTGCTTTAAGGTAAATACTAAATAATCCGGGCCGAAAATGAATTCTAATTCTGCTACGGTAAGCTGCTTTGGAAAAGTCCATATCTATTATTTCCTTTAATTTGTCGTTAGTCATCGTTATAGCTAATCAAAAAAAAACATTAATTGTAGCCAAAAACAGCTAATTCGTTTGCGAATATATGTATTTATGAATCATTAATTAAATAAACATGTTTTTATTAATTACATATAGATATATGTTTGACTAAATTAGAAACTGATAATAGAACAACCCTTAGAATATTTGGTTTGCTTTGCATGGCTTGGTGATGTAGACACATAATAAACCTCATTACAGCCTGGTGTCCCTCAGGTGCCGCTTCTAGATGATGATACAATTGCATTTGGCGAGGAAGATAATGCCAACAAACAATTTGTGTAAGGGTTCTTCACTAAAATATGAAAGTAATACAAGATTTAGTGTTTGTTTCATTGTAATAATTGAGCACACTCCAAAAAAATTAAGTCAATTTTTCTATTAAGTGATAAACAAATTTTCTTGAGTGTTTTTGCTTACTTCTATTTTTTTTTAATTTCTTGTAAAATGACAACTTCATTTACAAGAAATTAAATACAATTTACAGTATAAATAATTCTTTTTTTATTTAGTGAGTTTAATATTCTTTAATGTTTCAGACACCCATACATTGTGTTTTTTCACCTGGTCTTCCGGTGTTCTGCTATAATAGTGTACATTCTGTGTGGATGGTTTTCTGACTCCTTTATAGCCAGTTTTGTGTTAGTAACTCTCTTACTATCTGCTGATTTTTGGACTGTTAAAAATATAAGTGGTGAGTTTATTGACTATAAATTATACTTCTCACTTAACTTAATTTCTGGCCTCTATGGAGCATTAAGTAATAATTATGTTACCAAAAACTGATAGTAGTATCTTATACTCCCAGGACGTTTACTTGTGGGGCTAAGATGGTGGAACTATGTAGATGATGAAGGAAAATCCCATTGGGTTTTTGAGTCTAAACAGGTGTGTATGAATCCCTTCTGGTATTATAGATACTATATTGTTTCTTACTTTAAAAAAGATATTAATTCTTTATTACAGAACCGCGTAAATCGCAATGAAAGCCGCCTGTTCTGGTTAGGGCTCACCTTATGCCCTCTAATTTGGTCTGGCTTCTTTATTATCAGTCTGCTAAGCTTCAAGTTCAGATGGATGGTGAGATTTTTTTCCAATTTACTAAAACTTACAAGACCATGTAAGGAATTGTTTTGTCATTAGGGTTAAATTTTTAATATCTGTTAATTATTATAAATAAGCTTTTACCTGTTGCTATATGACTTACAATTCATATTATTTTGTTTAATATTGGTAATTGTAACACATACCACTATTTATACTTCTTCAATTATAGTTATAAAAGTGAAACAATAATAGTTAGAATAGATTGTTTTAACTGAGTCAACATCAATTGGTGTGAAATGTAAAAAAAAAAAACATTATATTACACATTATTTTCATACCAACAAAAATTCACACTGAGCCCATGTTTTTAAAACAAGCTAGTTTCTCAATGATGATGCTAAAGAATAGCACTTTATCTTTATCTCTAAGCTCACAATTATACTTATACAAGAAGGATAATATCATTTTGTTAATATTTTGCCATGTAAAAGGTAAGCAAAGAAACAAAGGCACGTACATATTGACATGGATATCACTAAATTCATGTAGTTTAAAAACTCAATCCTTCTACTTCCAGCTTCTAGTTATGATTGCTCTGACTCTGACGGGGGCAAACCTTTACGGATATGTGAAATGTAAATTTGGAGCAAAGGAGAACCTGAAGTCTGTCACAACAGACTTCATGAAGAAACAGTTCCTGGCCAACGCCACATCCTTCATGTTTGCTCAGCCAGCTCCTCCTAATGTTAACACCAACTCTGGTGTTGTCTAGATTCTTTATATACTAACTTTATAATAACTGAAATTTAACTTTACTTTTTATGTATTTATATATTTAATTTATTGTTAAATACAAATAAGGAATTTTTGTTCTGTGTGGTACCAAATTGGTGTCACTTTAGCATGACAGTGTTCTATAGTATAATATGTAATATTTTTGATAATAATTATTAAAAAGCTTTCCAAAAAAAAAATTACAGATTACTGTAATAATTGATTGGATTTAAGGTGTTTTAAATTCTCTATAATCAAAACAATCACATCATTATATAATAATTACTAAGAATACATAATAGTCAAAATAATTACATTAAATTATTTTGAAAAAGAATTTACTAGTATTCATTCCAAAACGTGATGCCGGCGTCTGCTTACACATAAAATAATAATAAAAAATGCCTTAATACAAAAGAATCTTTACATGTTGTGTGATATTTTTGCAAAAGTATTTTATCAAGTAAGAGGAGGCAAGTAAAACCAACAACAATTATTAATTTAATAGACCCAAAATTTAAGACTGATGGGTTAATTAAATATAAACTCATACAATAATCCTAGACTTAACAAAGAAAGCTCCATGAAATCTGATTAGTTGTGGCAAAAAATTTGTTGTATTGGTAATCAGGGCTGAAGCTAACAATTTGCTTCAACAAAAACTGATTCCTTTTTTTACAAACGAACTTGACTACAAACTTTCTTAGTATCTAAGCTAAGAGCTATAAAATTACGAATTATTATTTAGTTAATTCTTTAACGACTGTTTTTACATTATTTTAATTTAAAATAAAATTCTTTATATATATTATAACTATTGATGAACATTCTGTGTAAATAAATTATAACATTATAATAATAGTATAACATTAATTATTATAAAAAATATGCTCCAGGTGAGGCTCGAACTCACAACCCCGGCATCTCTCACACGAACACTGTCTTATAAGTACCGTGCGCTAACCAATTGCGCCACTGGAGCTGTGAGGAACGAGTCGAAAATGAATAAAGGCTTATGTTTATCGTAATTCTTGTCTATTTTCATAAAAAAACAATTTGATAAAATTAATTTTATTTTTGAATTGCGAATATATTGTAAATTACTGAACATTAATTTACAATAGTAGTTTTAGTATAGAAATTATAATTTAATGTAGTCTATATCAATAACGACTCAGTAATACCAGATTAGGATGAATCCCGTCAAATTGGTTTTTCAAGTTATTTAATATTTGTATATGTTTTAATATTTTTCATAATTTTGGAGGAGCGAAAAAAAAGGTTCGAGGGAAAAGATATTTTTTGTTAAAAATTTATATGTTCTAAGAATTATATATATTATAGCGTGATTATTTTTAAACGAGTTTAAAAAACTATTATACATACCGAAATAATGTATGCTTTATCGAATCATCTGGTGGTAAAATGAATTGATAACATTTTATGATTGTACAAAACCATTGCCAAGTGTTTGGCAACACTGGTGGGAAATGACAATTGGTGTGCCAATGGACTTTGTATCCGGCTAATAAATAAAAAAAAAATGACAATTGGTAAACGTCATTTTCGTCATAATATTATTATAATTCATAACTCTTAGCACCTATGTGGATTTTTATTTTAATCAAAGTTTTTTGTGTTAACGCTTATGTTCAAGTACAAAACATTTAAGACATTCTATTGGTGTAAAATGTTATTTGTGATTGTATTATATATGGCTTATTCAAAATGAATTGGTTTGATACCTCGGGGTTTACGAGCCTTGCGAAAAATGCTTTAAAAGAAGCTCAAAAGACCATTGATAAAGCTTTAGATATCCAAGATGAGAGCGACGAAGAAGTAAATGCTGCGCCTTCCGAGCAGTTTGCAAAAACCACATTTTCGCAAAGTGCAAATAAAGATCCATCAGATTTCTTTTCGTCGTGGGGTCTCACAGTCAGCGGCGAAGAAAGTAAAGAGTGTGCAACGAAAGAGCAACCCGTAGTAACTGCAAGCCCTTCCAAAGCGCATCCTCAGAGCCTATGGGGATCCTTTGCTGGGTCATTCTTTGAGCATTCTGAACCTCATGACGGCACTATCGTTAGGCCGCCAAAGGCGAAGTCTATGAATGTAATATCAGATAAGTATGATAGTCAAGATGACCTATTTTCTAAAAGCCAACTTGTCATGTCAGATGGTAACGAAGCATTAATTAAAAGAAATGAATATAAGACTGATGATAGGCGCAAGTCATCACTAACAAATGCTCTGTCCTTTATCTCAAGCAGAAATAGTTCAGACTCAGTAGAGGTATTGTCACAAAGCCTTAAAACCACTCCAGACTCTGAGGGTGCATCTTATCAGTCCGTATCACAAAGTACCAGTACAGGCTTGAAACCTAATTCTGAATCAGTTGAGATTTTACCTGATAGTCTAATAAGTCCTAGTTCAATAGAATGTCTTGGTTTTGATAGTTATGCCAGTGATAAAAATAGCAGTATTTCATCAAATTCATCCCCAAGTGATGGCCTAGACAAGAAATCTACTCCTGTTGGAGAACATATAGAGAAGGTTGAGACTGCAGACAGTGTGAGCTTGGTTGCTGATGATGATGATGACACAATGTCATACAATTCTATTTCAGAGTGCACTGCTCCCACTGTTTTGGATACTGATGAAAAGCCTTTAAGTCCTTTTCTTAAAACAGCTAAATTAGATCAAAGAAAGGTTGAAAAAGACTTATTGCATGTGGAGCAAAAAGTTCCACAAATAATACAAATGAGTGAAAATTCATCACATGATGGCTCTTGGTCAGACCAAACTTTAAATGTTAACTGTGACAGTATAATCCAAGAAAATATTAATAAGGAAAGAAAAGATGCTGACATAGAAGACATTTTAATTGAAAAACTAAGTGACTCTTCATCATTTTATAATGTGAATGTTACTGCTGATTCAGTAAGGTCTGAAAGTTCAGCATTTGTCAAATTAGAGAGGCACAGGCACAGTCCACCTGGAAGTAATGACTCTTCACTAAAAGACTGCAGTATCAAGGAGCGAACATCACCATCTAGTTCAGATAGCAAGAGTGACTTGGTTAAAATAGGATCAGATCGTACATCAGGTCACACTTCTGGTGATGAGGTAGAGACAGCAACCTCCTCAGATATAGAAATTATACCCAGCCCTAATGGGGACAACAGCCACTGTAGCAGAAGTAGTCCTGGAAAATATGCTTTTAGGCACAAATTGGATGGCACAACATCTCCCAATTTAGTTGATTTGGTATTAGGTAAGAATTTGGCCACAAAAATTCGAGGGCACACAAGAGAATTGTCAGATGCATCCATTAAGAGCAATTTAAGTGACGAAAGTCAGGGTTCGGAGAACGAGATTTTGATGAGACGCTTAAGTGAAATGGCAGAAATTTTGGATGCTCGGGAAAATAGACTAATGGAAGTGAGTAGAAATAATGCCGAGTTGGTGGAGAATAATGTTCATTTAAAGAGCCAAATGGAGTGTATGCTTGCAAAACAGGAAAGCAGTGACATTAATACTATTACAGAAGATTATACGCAGAGGCTATCAGCACTGGAAAAAAAGTTTCAGCAAGCCATTCGAGATAAGGTATACAGTGTAACATATTAAATATTTGTCACAATGGTAGATGGTTGATAGTATTTTCAAAATATAACTTAATTTTTACAACTTGCTTAATTATTTTAACCAAATATATCTATTTTATGATGTTTTAGAACCACCTTAGAAAGCAATTGGATAGTTTGAAACTAGAAATAGCAAAAAAAAATGCGACAGGTGTAGATGCACTTCTGAAGGAGAAGGAAGATATAATCTTGCAGCTTCAGGAGGAAGGGGAGAAGCTGGCCAGGCAGGAGCTGCAACACACTAATATAATAAAAAAATTAAGGTCTAAGGAACGGGACAACGAGCAGGTCATCAAGGGTTTAAGGTCAGTTGATTCCTGCCAACTTGGTAATGATGAAAAGGCATTTTTTCATATGCAATATTATTTTTTGTCGTGTGCAACACTTTTCTTAATGTTTCAAAGTCCATTTGTCGTTGCAGGGACAAAGCGGCAGAGCAGACGGCCGAGTTGGATCGCATGAAGAGATCGCTGGCGTCCAAGGAGGAGGTGGAAGTGAGCCAGATAGAGGCCGTGTACCGCCTCACAACTGCCAACAAGAAGATGGATACCGAGCTCGCCGAGGTGACTGACATTTACCGCTTCTCCCCCTTTACCTTCTCCACGGGCACCCTGCGCCCGTATAAGTATAATTCGTACGGCAAATCTTTCTTTTACACAACAGTCAACAAACAAAATGAGCACGTTTTTCAGACAAAGAGTGCCCTCGACGACACCACACAGAAGCTAGAAAGCGCCAGAACGTCTCTGGACGTCGCCAGGCGAGAGCTGAACGAGCTGCAGCGGAGCGTTTCCGAGCTGCAGAAGGTCAGAGCCGCCGGCGGACAGCTCGAGGCCGACAGGGACCGAGCCGAGAGGAGGGCCGAGCGCCTCGAGCGGGAGCTTTGCCAGCTCAGAGCCGAGAGGACCAGAGGTCTGTCGCGCGGTCGCCTCGCATGCGTGCGTGCGTGTATTGCGATCCGATCTACTCCGCTTCTTCCAGAGGAGGCCCGGTGGGTGTCCCGCGAGGAGGCGCTGCGCCGCGAGGTGGGCGAAGCGCGAGAGGAGGGAGCGCTGCGGACCGAGGCGCCCCACGCCGCTCTGTTGGATCAGCTGGCCGCCTTGCAGCGCGCGGCCGTCGAGAGGGACCGGGCCCGAGACGCCGCCGCCGCCAGGCTGGGTACGACGTCCGCTCGAACCGGGACGCGCGTGATCGCCGCCGGAGTCTCTCATTCCTTTGTCGAATTGCAGCGGAGGCGGAGACGCTGGCGGCCAAGGCCACCGAGAGAGAGAGACTCGCGAGGGAGGAGTGCGGCGCCCTCGCCAGGAGACTCGACGAGGTCGACGTCGCCCGCGGAGACGCGCTGCGCCGGCTGCGGGAGCTGAGCGATCGCTTCGCTCTCCTCGAGGGACGAGCCGAGCGGCTGCGCGACGCCCTCGACGGGTACGTCGCCTCGTCTCACTCGGTTGGCCGTCCAGGTCTTTCTCTATAGGTAGACCGTCGTGTATTTCAGCAAAACCAGAGAGTCGGAAGAGGCGAAGCGCTCCGTCGAAGTCCTGACGGCGGAGTCGGCGAGGCGGCTGAGCGAGATGGAGCGGCTCCTGGAAGAGGAGCGCGTCGCCCTCGACACCGAGAGGAAGCGGAGCGCCATACTTCAGGTATTCGGTCGAATCCGTTAAAAGCTCACCCGCTCGCGGGAGTCTAACGGGTCGACGTCTCTCTTCAGGAGCAGCTCTCGTCGCGGGGAGACGCGTCGCCGCCGCGCTCCGTGCTCTCGGACTCCGCGTGGCACGTAAGTCTCGCGTCTCTCGTCCGCTTCGAACGTATAATGTCCGACGGCGATACACATTGCGAGTGACGGACAGGAGGAGGCGGCGGGCGGAGCGGGAGCGGGGGCGGGAGCGTGGGCGAGCGGAGCCGCGAGCGCCCTGCTGGCCGAACGGGACGCGCTGCGGACGCATCTGGCCGGCCTCACGCGGCGGCTGCAGGACACGCAGGTCGGTGAACAGTCGTTTTGAAAACCACGAAAACGAATTTAAATCGTCGACGGGGCAAATGAGGTTCGTTCGCAATCTGCAGAACGTGCAGGAGCAGTACGAGGCTCTGCTGGAGATGTACGGCGAGAAGGAGGAACAGCTGGAGGAGCTGAAGATGGACCTGCACGACGTCACGCAGCTGTACAAGCAGCAGATCGACGAACTCGTGGCGCTGCGGCAGCAGGCGCGGCGGACCTAGGGCTTCGCCGCGTCTTTTGTGATATTCCAACTCTCACTATAATATATTTAATTGTGCCGATCGGGGCCGGAGGCGTAGAGAAGTCCTCCCTTCGAGGCCCATACCTCACCGAGACGTGGCCAGCGATCACTATGGCGACGTCTGACGTCCCTGCGTCGCAAATGCATTCAGTTCTGTCTCGACACAAAATAAAAATCAAAAATATATTAAAATAAAATTACTATTTATTTAATAATTTCAAATGAAATTTTAAAATTTTTTAAAATCATTTATGTAAAATATTAATAACTAGGAGAGCAGGAGCCTTACTAACAATTTCTTTCAGGATAACTAAGTAAAAAACATAATTAAGAGAATATGAAAAAGTAAAGAAAGTGTTAAGGTGTGCTAATTCGGTAATCGTGGCCACCGTGGCATTTCGGTGAGGTATGGCTCTGGATCTTTGCAATAGGTCATCATCTTTTAGAGAGCTGCCATATTATTAAAAATCCGAGGTCGAGCGAATAAAAAAACATTTAAACGTACACCATTTATTATAAGAGTTAATAGAAATGAAGCGATACAAACATTCAAACAAACTTCGGAGAACATCGCCTTCTTCGCGAACGCTTTGTCGGCGGCCTTTAGATTCGACAAATTATTGTAAATTGTATATTAAACGAAATTATAATAAGAGAAAAAAGATGACTTTTTATTTTACCAGAATCGAGGTTATCTCTTATCGCCTTGCGACAGAGAAGGACTTATAATTAGCAATATCGACCTCGTCGGCTCGAAGCGCGTTCTCCGCTCGAGAGACGGCGGACCGTGGACCGGGTCCAGCTACAATTATTTACGATTAAGCTTAACACATTAAACACTATCGGAGCTCCCCCCTCCGGGGGCTCGCAACGGTCGAGTCGTCTCCTCCGTCCCGGGGTCCGGGCGCGCTCGGGCCGTCCGACGCAGACGCGCCCGGATGACGTCTAACTCTTGACACTCGTCGCCGCCGGACGTGCGGCGTCGCTTCACACCCAGGCCATCCAGCCCTCGTACATGAGGCACAGGTTCTCGACGCTCGTCGCCTCCGCTATGATGTAGTCGACCTGCTCGGCGGGCGTGGCGCGCCTGGCCGCCTGGGAGGCGGGCGAGTCGCGGCCCTCCAGCTTCAGGCGCACGCGGCGCCACACGCCCGCCCCCACGGAGTTGCGCCGCTCGCCGGCGTGCCTGCCGTGAGGCCGCGCCGCCCCCGAGGGCGGCCGTCGTCCCGCCCTCCCGGCGCCGCTCTCCGACAGGTTGGCCGGCAATCTGAAACGGGTCGAACGTAAATAACCGGGAACGCGCGTCGACCGCCGGCGGACGAAGCGCGAGAGACACCCACTCCACGAGCGCGTCGAGCAGGGCGGGCAGGTCGTCCCTCAGCGTGCGGGCGTTCCGCGACACCGCCTCCACCTGGCGCCTGGAGACCGCCTCCGCCGCGATCGCGTTCAGCTTCTCGGTCGCCGTGCGCCACCTCTCGAGGAACTCGGCGGCCGGACTCTCGCTCTGGAACGAAATCCGAATTGAGGATCGCGAAACGAATGCTCGTCGCTCGTCTCGCGAGGGGGACTCACCTCCGCGAGGGCGGCCAGAGGCGCGCGCAGATCGGGCAGCAGGGCGGCGCGGACGGCGGCCGGCGACGCGGCGGCGTCGGCGGCGCGCCTCAGCGCCTGCGACGCCGCCGCCTCCTGCGCCCGCGCTTTAGTCGCGTCTCCGCCCACGCCCTGCGTCAGCTCGCGCACCAGCGCCGACACCGTCTCCACCTGCGGGCCGACTCTCAATGAATCCGCGGTCGCCGAAGGCCGGTCCCTTCGAGGGTCGGGACGAACGCTCACCCAGTGCGCGTCGATGTTTCCCTCGGGGTGCAGCATCTCCATGAGCGACTCCTCGAGCGGCGTCACCGCCAGCGAGTACTTCTGCGTCAGGGCGCAGGCCTGCGGACGCGGAAACGTTTGTTAGGAAAGCTAATCGATGAAAAGTAATCTGGGCGTAAGACGGCTTTAAGTAGCTCGTGCCTTCCCACTGCTCGACTACAATTTCCCTGACTGATTACTGATTCCTGAAAGGTGGAACGCATGTGGCATTCATTGATCCTATCAAACCCAAAACTACAGCAATCCCACATACTATAGCAGAGATGTACGATAAACTTATACATAATATTGCGGTTATACACAAATTTATCTGTCCTTGTGAATTACTCGGTCGGCTCAATAAGTCAGGCCGCACACAAGGCATACATCGTTGCGAAGTCGTTGCGCTACAAATGTATTGAAAATGCGCACATCGGAAGCACAGTTGTAGCGTGGCACCGCTTTGAGAAGGTTGACATCATCGTCTTATGACATAGATTTCTTGATGTTGCGATTAATGAGAAAAAAAAAGACGTTATTGGGTTCATCCGTTTAATCAAGATTGCATAAAGTACGGGAATTTTTCGCCAATCTTAGTCCAAATTATTTCTGTAATCCGTCTGTTACTATAATCATTGAGCGTGTGATTGTATAAAACAGGGTTTTTTTCAACCTCTGCAATAAACTCAACGTAAAATTCAATGTTGTCCTTAATTTTTGCAAACCAACGCGACACAAAAAACGAACGTGTTCGATCTTGAATTTGTGTGGCGCGGAAACTGTCTCGCTACAAAGTGCGCCCGCCACAAATGTTTCCTCGGTGTGCGTGCTCACGTACAAACGTATGGGGGCGTCAAATGTGTCGCGTGTCAAATGTGGCGCTACAATTATCGAGTTACAAATGTATGCCTGGTGTGCGGCCTGACTTAGTGAAGGAAAGCGTTCGAGCGAGTGGATGACGTCATCCTAAAACGCCTTGCCTTGGGTGCCTTTTAGCGTGGACGAGTATTAACAATTATTACTTATTATTATGACATTTGCATGTCTGTCGCTGGAACTGCACAGCGGTTACAAATTCAATGATAATATATTCACCCGCTCTACAGTTGCACACTACTTGATGTGTATACGTGGCCGTCATCTTTAACAAAACTCTAACAAAATTTAAATATTGATCAGCTCAAATTATCAAAAATCTAATAAAGCATTTCCCAAAAATACAAATTAAACAATTTTGGACTTTTAGTTGACAGTGTGATTCGGTATTTTTTTCATTTGAAATTTGTAAATTTTATCTTTTGAAAATAAATAACATACCTTCTCCCAATGAGCGAGCGCGGTGCGCAGCGTGCGCGCCGCCCGCTGCGTGCGTTGGGCTCGGGCGGCCGGAGGCGCGCCGAGGGCGGCGGCGGCGCGGGCGTGACGCGCGAGGGCCGAGGCGGCGCCCGATAGACGTCGCGCCCTCTCCTCGCGGGAGCCCCACGCGCTCTCCAGCCCCCGCACCACGCCGCGCAGCGCTGGGTTGGCGCCCGCGCCCCACTTGACTCGCTGATGCGCCGACTGCACGAGGCTTCGAGCGCGTCCCGCCGCGCTCGCCAGCCGCTCCCCGGCCGCCGAGAGCTCTCGCGAGCGCCTCGACAGCGCCGCGCTCGACTCCTGGCTCCCGTTCAGCACCTGAAAATTACGTCTGTACGTCCGACCGACCGTCGGCAGACCGGCCGACCGCCGACTCGCTCGACGGCGGACCTCACCTCGGCGTGTAAGTGCGCGTGAGCGGCGGTCCTGAGGCGCAGCGCCCGGGCGGCGGCTCGTGCGCGATCGGCGGCACGGACGGCGGCGGCGGCGCGGCACAGGCGGGCCCGCGCCGCGACCACGCCGCCCGCCAGACTGGCGCCGCGCTCGCTTCCCGCGCGACATACCTTCTCGCACAGCGACTCCAGAGATACGCTCCACGAGGCCCCTGGGGACGACGAGCGTTAGATGAAGGCGAAGCTCGGAGACGGCAAAGAGACGGACGCGGGGCGACTCACCGATCTCCTTCTGCTCGACTTCGGCGCCTAGGTCGAGGCGGGCGCGGCGCAGCAGCAGACACAGCACTGAGGCCAACGCCCGCGACGGCACGCCCAGCACGCAGCGCGACACGTACTCGGCGACGTAACGGCCGACGGGCTTAGCGAGCGCCGAGTCGTCGTAGGGCGGAGGCGCGGGGCCGGCGACGGGCCCCCCTCGGGCGGCGCGGGCCACCTGCACGCACATGGCGAACACCTCGGCCACCGTCTGCACTCGCCGCACCAGGAACATGTCCTCCAACACGGCCCGCAGCGTCCCGCGCTGCATCGCCGCCTGAAACCGTGACGCGTCTCGTTTACGCTCGTCGCGCTCCGAGCCTCTCGAGAGCGTTCTAGAAAATTACATTGCACCGACCGACATGCGCAGCGCGTCGTCGACGTGGTCTATCTTCCTCCAGGCGGGCGGCACGGGCGAATCGAGGTGGTCGGTGAGCTCGCGGCCGCGCAACTCGACGGCGGCGAAGAGCCCGTTGAAGCCCATTAGCAACATCCGACCGCCGCTCTGGCCCTCCTCGGCCGTCGTCGAGAGTAGCGCCTCGTATCTAGCGCGAAGTTCTGCCGCCAGCAGCTGGGCTCCGGGCGCCGGCGACTGAAAAGAGAGCGGAAAACGTCAACGACACGCGTTCTCCCTCGATCGGCGACGTCGAGACGTTGCGATGCGTACCTCCATGTCCATCAGCAAATATCGGAAGTGCAATTCTAGCTGCGCCAGTATCTCGTTTAACGGAACTGGGGAGTTCATTATGACGGCGTTCAGCTCGTTGATCACGTGCAGCGCCGACGGGTCCTCCGAGTGGACCTTTTTTAGCGCTTCCGGCAGAATAATTGTGCTAAAATTATAATTCAACTGCACCAAATCGGCCAACAATAGGTTTGCGTTTCTGACGCATTCGACCGCCACTGGCATCGCGGCGTCTTCGACCGCCGCCGACTGCAAGGGCAGCAGAGACAGCAGCTCCACCGCCTGCATCGACAGGGCGCTCATGTCGTCTAAGAACCACTCTCCTTCTCGAGAAGTCAGGTCCACGAGACAGTCCCCGGCGCTCTGGGCGCCGTTTTCGAGCATCAAATATCTCCTATTCAAATTGCACAACATCCCGATGACCACGCTCTCCAAAATCCCCGCGGCTCCCTCCTCGGTTCTCACCCAATTGCTGATGTTATTTTTAGCTTCTTTATACGACTCCTGGGCTGCGACGATTGCGTCGGGGCCGCCTTCCACCTGTAGTCTTTCGAGACATTTGTTGAGGTGGACGTTCGCCTCGGCGTTCAACTGTTGCAGGCGGTAATTGAATGCTATTATTTGTTGAGAGTCGCCGCAGGTGTTCTCCGCGTTGACCATGGTCGTCACTTGGTTGGCGACGTCGCGGCAGACCTCCGGGGATTTGCTCTCTAACGCCGCGGCCAGAAACTTGCGGAACGTGGCAATGCGATGGTACTCCGTTTGACTCTGCGGATAATACTGCGATACCGCTACGTACTGAGACAGGAGCTCTAGACAAGATCGAATGAGAAGGTTCGTCTGTTGCATGCTCTGGTTCAATTCGGTCTCCGCCTGCTCGCACTGGGTCAGCATGGAGCCTTGGCCGGCGTTAGTGAGGAATTCCTGGATATGGTCAAAAATTGGTCTCTCGTCGTCTTCGTTGGATGCCGAGAATTCCTGCACCCACGCCATTAACTGGGGGCCGTTTAGAACTTCGTTCGTCGTCACGAAATTTTCAATTTGAGTGTCGAAATCGTTGAGTATTTTGACAAGAACTTTCATGGAATCTTCCACTGCATTCTTAGCCTGTTTGTATGAAGTGTACTTTTGTGATATCGCATACAAAGGATGCCCGCCGAGGTTGTTGCCGTACGACTCTATCTCCTTTATCAGAGCCATCTGTTGATGGCACTCTTGGAGTTTCGTCTCGATCGCGTTTAACTTGTCGTTCTCCTCGAGCCACTTGTCGGCGCACTGCTGTACTTCAGGTAATAAAGCGACGAGTCGATCGCTGTAAAAGTGAACAAACAGTAAATGACACACGTCTCCGTCGACCGGAGTTTACTAAAAGGCTACGCTACGTACGTGACTTCGCCAATTCCGTGCTTGAGCTCGCGCACTCTGACGGCGAGCATGGCGCGTGCGGCGCGCACGTGCCTCGTGCCGCGACGTCGCCGGCCTCCGCCCCACTCCACCAGCGGGTCGTACACGAACGCCTCGAGCAACGTCAGCAGCGTCTCGCGTCCACGCCGCATCGTGCGCACCACGTGTTCGCACCCCAGCCTGAAGATGCCCTGAACACACCCACCGAATATCTAATATTAATTCCTCGTTGCAACCTATTTCAGTACCTACTGTTAATAGGACTCCTTCATTTGGGGTCGCAAGATTGTCTCAATTTGTTTTTTTTAACTATTTTAATATTAAAATGTTTATAATATAATTATTTTTTGTTTAATACTGTCATACCATAAGTGATACCTGTATCTTATGTTCCATAATAAACATATTTATTACCATCTTGTAGTTAGAAGCCGAAACATTGTGTTCTTATGCAGCATATATGAAAATTAATTCTAATTAATAAAATGATTATTGCAATCGCATCCGAATTTCCTGACCAACCATCGGTTCTTCAGCGAATCAGAATATAAGCAAATCTGTATTATATTTGTAATGTGCTAGCATTTTATACAATATAGGTTAGGTAGGCGTACCGTAGCAGCTGCTGTAGCTAGCGGGCAGTATTTTTCCTATTTGCTACGCGTTTTTAATTTATTAACAAGATGACTACAGCCTCATCATTAGATAGAATATGTCGAATAAAAAATACCTTACAAAATGTAAAGATTCGTATCTTTTCATAATAGAGACTGGATCATCGTAATCCACAATCAGTCGGGCCTCATGTCAAGCGCACAATTAGAAGATAGCATCTGCGCCCTTTGTACGGCTCCATCCTTTTGACCGGGAACGTTGAATAGGTATATTTAAATGCTTATTATTTAGTGGACTAGCAAGGAAAATCGTTTCAAACTCCGAAATAATATAGGAATTATATACTTAACTTGAATATTTTTATACGACTATGGTGACTTGGACATTTGTGATTTGAGACCGTCCAATGCATTGAAAACGAGAACCAATGCTTACACATCAATTACAATAATTCAAAACAAGTGTTGAAGTAATTAACATCATTCTACATTAATATATTTCAAATTAGGTCTAAACTGGCGAATTTAAACAGATTGAACAAACGTTTGTTGCGAAACGAAGTTAATTTGGTTCATTAGTGTCGAGTCACGGCTCGACGCTTATCTCGTCTAGTTGCATCTATTTGTGCAGAAATATGGTTAATCAGAGGAGCAATTAGAAAATATTACCAAAAACCCAAATATGAATAAATATAACAAAATAAACCTTTATTCTATTTCTGAATATAATGAACTGAAGTACACAAAGAGTGTACTAGCAACTGAAAGAAAAAGTCAAAGTGCACGTATAGGTCGTCGTCCTTTGCGCTGTTTCTGCATTCAGCAGTAACACAGATTTTGAGAGGCCAATTCCTTACCTGCTATAAAAAAGCAAGATTCTGACAAATGGAAAAGGTCATCCGCAAATCGCAAGTGGTAAGTGAGTTAATGTATTAACTTGAATATTTATAACAATACCAAATAAAGTAAATATACAGAAGGTCCGTTACTTCCAACTATCAGAATAAATTTTTTATTATTATAATATTTTCGGTATGAGTTTTACATTTTTCTATCAAACTCACTCAGTGTTAATCCTAAAACAATTAAAAAAATACTATTATAAAACGCGATTGTTGATTAGGAAGTAGAAGGCACAAAATGCATTGATAAGCGATAACATTTTGCTTATTTGTCCAAATCCTTATTACCACCAAAACTCAAGTGGAACAAGCTAAAAATATTACGCTGGTGACATAATTTGTTAGCCTTATAAAACATAAGTTTAAGTTAATTTGTATGTATTTCTAACCCATAATTACCCATTCAGACAGATTACAGCCTTAATCAGCATTCGGGAGTAGCAAAAGTAGCAATTAGAACACTACACTTGACTGCAATGACGCTGAATGTTAGCCCCGAAATAATAGGCAATTGAGAAATCTAAAGCATTTTAGCGGCATATTTCGAGTAGGAATGTAGCTGACGCATACATCAGATGCACGAGATCGGCCATCTCCATTAGTTTCGCCCGAGTGAACCCATCGCGCGAGTGCCTCACCCACATTCACTATACAATTCAATTCATCTCAAATCTCATTTCATCTCAATTTAGAGACAGTAGGCCTGTTAGTCTGTTACTGAGATAGAGATTTATTAAAAAGACTAATTTTAAATTGGACGTTTGAAATCAAAAATGAAATATTGTTTTTATCAAATTAAAAAAACAATTCGCCAACAGAAAGATACATATTTTTAGCCAGAGACAAGTTTAACGGTTATCCTGTTGCGCTAACGATTCTTTCGGAAAGCTTTGTATAGTATCAAATAAAGAATTGCATTCAGAGTAGAAATATAGTATATATCGTCATAGTCGCAGCATAGTGACGGATCTGACAAATAGTAAACTTTACAGGGCAGCCATTTCAAAATAATATAATGATGTTAGTTTTTGTTATAACAATTTTAATTCATATTCTGTTATTTGAAAATTGGCGTACAAGCAAACAAAAGGGTTTGTTTTGAAACAAAATAAAAATTATAACATTAAATTACACAGTTTTCTAGAAAAATCACGCTTCAATGCAATCCGTCACTTTACCGACTGGTTATTTTAACATTTAAAACACATGGATTTTTTTTAATGTAGCCGTAATATTTAGTCAATGTAATATCCAAATATGATAAAAATGGATTTTGGGTATTTAAAAATCCGACATTGTTCTACGATCATGAAGAGATGTCGGGGAATGCTCGGAGTATCAGGGAATGTTCTGCTCGAGTCAATTGACCGTTGATTATTATTGTTAATTTGGTTAATATCCTATCTATTTCTTTATAATTTTTTAAAAATTTCATTCGATTTGTTTTGTTATTATTTAATTGTTTTATAATTTAGAATCATTACTTAACGAATATTGTTACGGCTAATCAGAGCCGAGCAAATGCCTCGAGTGGGGTAGAGGCGCCCTCTTGACTTTAGACAACGCGTTCGTCTTTTGTCTTTACCCACATGCCGCTCACTAAGCCCGCGAATGACGATGTCCATATCGATAGAGTGACGATATTTCTCCAACCTATATTAATGTAAAAGTCCTAACTTAACAAAAATGTTTGAAGATGTCAGAAAATAAAGGTTATCAATGAAGTTTATAATTCAAAAAACCGTGACGTACTTTGTTATCTCCACAATCATTAAGGCGTGGGTTAATGAAATAAAGATGTAAGAGGTTGTGGGGGGAGGCTGCAACCCACTGAGGCAGGCAGGTGACATGACATCCAATTAATGCAATCTCCCTAAAGACCTGCAGGGAACCGCCTTTGCACACGTCGACTAATATTTAGGCAAATAATACGTTATAGTTTATACCATTAAAAATATTCTGCGACAAAAGCACCAATACGAAACAATTTATAGTATTCTAAAAAAAAAACTATTTTTATAATTGATAAAACAATTTTTTTTTTAAATATTCCGTACTTAAAAATTTACATGAAAAATAATTTATTATTAAGATTAGAGCGAATCAGAATGCTTTTAAATCGTTCAGTACACCAAAAACAATAAGTTTTATGTTCTGAAGGTTATAATTTAATCATCTGACGCACGATCATAAAATCACTTTAAAGTTGCGATCGAATCAAACCCATTGAGAGCAAAGTTTGCAGCCTCATTCACTTTGTCTACAAATTATTTAAGTGCTTCTGGAACACGAAGGGCTGGTCATCAGACAATAAATGCGTAGTTGGTTTTCATCCCTACATATAACGAACACACTCCCAGAAGCCCGAGAGAGCTTTGTTTGTTGTTTACTTCACTCGCTCGTAAGTAATACGATAATTGTTTATTCATGCCGAGCTCTCTTCTAATCGCGTGTGTTTGTTTACAACCACGCTATGTCTATAGTTGTATTTAATTTAATACTTTACCTAACATTGCAAAACAAGCATATCTCATTTGAGTGTACCTACTGAAATTTGTATTTCAAGGTACACGATATTATTTCAATAGCAAATAAAGCGTTCACATATATTACGAAGTTTAAGTAATGCGATACACTCACGGCGATATCATTAAGCGAAGCTTTCACATCGATGTCTGTCTTGTACATTGGACGCGTTGCCCACCTCCGACGTGAAGGGGGTCAAGTGTCGGTCAGTAATGAGGAAAAATGTGGTCTCCACCTAACGTTGCTCAGTGCAATTGGATCGAATGGCGATTCATTGAAATTTGTTTTATTTTGTAAAGGGGAACGTCTCAAAGCTACCTTTATTACGAGTACTGCATTGTATCTTTATAGTAAATATACACATACACATAAGCATAACTGTGCAATCATCCACGACAGCATCAGAATTGATTCATTTCACCTGTTAAAACAGCAATATCATATATATATATAATATGTTGACACACATATAATATAGGTTAGTGTTTTAGTTGTGGGCGGCTTGAAAAATCAACTTGCTTTCAAACCTACAGTTTTCTGCTACGCCGTAGCGCATCTATATGCCACGTGAACTAGACGGTAGCAACGACATAAATACTGCATTTTATCACTATTTGTATTTCAGGAAAATTCAAAACCTTCCTCTCGTTCTCTCGTCTAGTGTCGAAAACGACTATTATTATTTTATTATATACGTTAAAACTAAACTTCAGCGACAGTGCGAAGGAAATCTTACACATTCCGAAGTAGAACAAAATCAGGGTGTACACTGTCTCATTAGGTAGGTAATTACTAACAAGAATTTCGACATCGACACGTCGTAAAGCCCCATTTTATCAAAACTATTGTATGTATTGAGCTTGTTTAAGACCATAAATAGCACAACTTCGTCCGGAATATATCGCGCCATAAAATAATTTTCAGTACAATAAAGGCAACACATTTCATCAGAGCGCCGTGTAAATCTACGTAATAATCGTTAAAATGTTCCCGAAGGTAAATGAAACGGATGAACACAGCAAAGAGATATTACTAATTATTTTTAGATTTTTCAAATATGACGTTCATTTGGTTTGAACACAGGCTTTTGAATCGGCTTTCCAATCGCAA